CCCTCCCTGCCGCCACTCCCGCCGACTGACAACTGCACAACACATCTCACAGGGTCAGGGGTCGGCAGTGTTATCTCCTCCGCGCAGTGTGGACGACACTGCTTAATGGACCGCTAAGAGGCGTTTACGTGTGTTTATGGTTTTGGCCAAAGGCGTTATTGGTAAAAGCAATAGCGATGTAATGTTTGACTTTGTTTTCAAAGTGATTTTCAATTTTCGCTGTTTATTTTAATTAGTCGCTATCGCCGGGAACATGTTATGATTCAGATTGCACGGAGGAAATAACACAATTACATGCCTTCGAATCGCTCAAATTTTAGGAGCCACATTAGTCAAGAACGAAGTTTTGAGTCGGCCAGGGAAGAAGGGAGTTGGTTTATGTCGCAGTGGAACAGCTCGCAGGATCTCCCTTGTGGCCGAGTTCAGAAAAGTGTCTGTGATTTATGCTAATGTAATATTTCATGCTTATTCCTATTTTAATGTATTACTTTATCATTATACTGTATATAAATTTATATAACACTCTAGTTTTATAATTGTCTATAGCTTATATTCTTGTTTGTGAACAAAATGCAAATTACCATCGGCTGAGTGTAACAGGGATGTTGTCGGAAATACTTGTATAATCGCGCCTGAAGCAGCCGACACGTCGCCGTGACGTCATCCGTGACGTCATCTGCGACCTAGTTACGATTGCTAGATTTGTATACTCTATCCATTGTACTTGTCTGGTCATAAAGTGCCAATTGGGACTAAATATCCTAAGCAATAGAAGTATTGCCTATATATCGCATTACTTGACTGTACTGTACCAGAATCGTAAATGTATTATCGAGCTACTAAAATTGTATAAATTGTATAAATGTTAACTGGACCGATACACGGGAATATTGTACTGTGGATATTAAAATGATGACGTGTTCTCACTATGTCGAATTTACATGAAATTTACTTCGTGACTTCGTTCGTCTCACCTTGCGATAAAAGTAAATAAAACATTCATTTATCATATTTTTTGATCCAAATAGATTTCCAGTTACCATTTATATGAGCGTTCACTATTGAACGCTCATATAAATGGTAACCATCTATATGGCAAGTGATGTGTTGCAAATGTGTGAGTGTCGCTGTGTTAGCCTGTGTGTGAGCGTGTGCGCGGTGACGTCACAGCGCGTCTCTCAACAGAACAAGTATTAACGTTAGCGGCGAGTTCATCGCTCGCTATTCCAATTTATCTGTTAAGCCAATACCGTATTTGTAAACATTGTAATAAAATATTGTAAGCTTTAAAAATTATTAACTAAAATGAATCAGACTTGAATTATGTGTTATTGTAATAGAAATAAGTTTTTATATCGGTAGTGTTAGGTGGCACGAGGTGAGCGGCGCCCGCCCCGCCGCCCCGCCGTCCCGCCGCCCCGCCACCCCGCCACTATACATATTTTATTATTTCTTTTTAAATTTGTATCAATTTTTAACCGAAATAATGATTTATAACGGAATGTCGCAGCAAAATGTCAAAATGTAATTTGTAGTGATTTATCTAATTGTACCATTGCATACAATATACAATTTTGTGAAATATTACGAGTTTTATTTAACAAGATCCGTTGTGGTTTCACTTTCCCACGTAAACCTTTATTCTAAGTATTGATAACCTTTATTCACTAAGTATTTGATGTGCAGCTCCTTGTGCTGGCGACTGGCGAGCTGCTGCAGCTGGCAACAGCTCGCCTCTCCTAACGGTGAAAGGACAGAAACAAACACTCCAGTGGTTTAGATAATTTATTGACATAAATTAATTTTGTTATTAAAAATATACAATTTATTAAAACATATAAATCACTGAGATATTACAAAAATATTAAAGAATTTGTCGAACGTCTAAAGCCTTAAACCTTATCAATTAAAGAAAATAATCTAAATATCAACTAAAACACTATATCAGAACTAATAGCAAGCATTTTGAACGCGCCAATGACATTCCATTGAGGATGTACTCAGATATGCGTACTGCTGACAGCAAATTAATTCAAAGTAAAAATCAACTCGACCTCTTAATAGACAAAATGGCGAAATAATACTTTTTAATTGAATACCCAGCAAACTCGAGCAGCAATAGTTAATTAACATTTATCAATAATATATTATATATAAAACAGAATTATAAAAAAAACTTTAAAAAATGACAGTTACATATAAAAATAGTAAGTTAATTTAGGTTTTATTCAGTCTCATATTGCATAAATAGTTAAAATTGTTTAAAAAACGTCTGATTCAATCGGCAAGTGTTTCTTATGTGAGATAATAGGAAAAGTTTTACAATATAACATTTACTTGACAGAACTATAAGATTACAACTAATTGAGAAAACAGTGTAGTTACAAATTTGTAGCAAAAACCTTCTTTTGCCCATTTTTTTCTTTTAAATACCTACTATGAATTTTATTCTACGAGAAAAATTAGGTAAGCCCCTGTCGATGGAAACAAGGTAACCGATGACAGATTTGCACAATGCACATGCCACTTTGAGATTTTGCTAACTACCGAAAACGTTGATTAAATATAATTCGTACTAAAATTTACAGAAAAAAAGATTTGCTTTAAAAACGGAGTAACGTGAAATTTAAATTATTAAAAGAGATGAGTGTGTGAAAGCAAAGAGGGTGCAGTTAGAAGTGTATGCCGTTCTGCACTTCGTGCATGAGTTTGGCGGAGTGTTGCAGGCGCGCTCGCTCCTCCTCGGTGAGA